TTTAGAATCTAATAAAAAGTTTGATTTGTACTTTGAAACAGTCTTTATTTTTCTAGAAATATAATATTTGTCTGCAAAGGATTGGAAATTAGAAAACAAAGACGGGCTTACACCACAGATGGTTTGAGAAGCACTGCTCTAGGCAGAGCCCTAGATTGGAGCTAAGGCCTTCTCCAGCGTGCCTCTTGTTTATTCTAGAAGCAGGTTCATTATTCCTTATCCCCAAGTCCAAGAGTCTGATTCTTATTTTTTTTAAATAAAAAAAAATTTTTTAAGTTTGGTAAAATATATATAACATAAAACCCTCTTTAACCATTTTTAAGTGTGTATTTCAGTAGTGTTAAGCACATTTACATTGTTGTGCAGCCAATCTTCAGAACTCTTCTTATCTTGCAAAACTAAAACTCTTTACGCACTAAACAAGAATTCTTTCCCCATCTTTCCAGTCCCTGGCAACCACCATTCTGCCTCATGGATATGACTATCTGAGTATCGGATATTAAATGGAATTATATAGTATTTGTCTTTTTGTGACTGACCTGTTTCACTTATCATAATGTCATTAAGGTTCATCTGTAGCATTTGCCAGAGTTTCTCTCCTTTTTAAGGCTGAATAATATTTCATTATAGATATCACCACATTTTGTTTATCCATTCATCTATCCACGACATTTAGGTTGCTTCTACCTTCTGACTATCTGAATAATGTTGCATTGAACATGGGTATGCAAATATCTCTTTAAGACCCCACTTTCATTTTGGGGCGCATATTTCCTGAAGTGGAATTGCCAGATCACATGATAATTTTATTATTATTATTTTTTTTTTTGAGGAACTACCATGTCATTTTCCATAGATGCAGCATCATTTTAAATTCCCACCATCACTGTGTAAAGGGTTCCAGTTTCTTCACATCCTGGCCAATACTTTTTATTTTCTGGGGTTGGTTTGATAGTAACCATCTTGGTGGGTGTGAGGTGTTACTATGGTTTTGATCTGCATTTCCTTAATGATTGACAATGTTGAGCATCTTCTTATGTGCTTGTTAGTCTTTTGCTATCTTCTTTGGAGGCATATCTATTCAAGCCCTTTGCCCAGTTTTAAACTGTGTTGTTTGGGGTTGTGTTGTTGTTGTTGTTGTTATTGTTGAGTTTTAAGAGTTCTTTATATATCCTAGATACTAACCTCTTATCAAATATATGATTAGCAAGTATTTTCTCCCATTTCATAGGTTGGTTTTTTAGACTATCGATTGTGTCCATTGGTTCACAGGTTTTAATTTTGATAAAGTTCAATTGACTTATTTTATTATGCTTTTGCTTTTGCTGTTTTATCAAAGAAACCATTACTATATTCCGATGTCATAAAGCTTTTCCATGATATTTTATAGTTTTTGCTCTTAGGTTTAGGTCTTCGATCCATTTTAAGTTAACTTTTGCATATGGTGTAAGTAAGAGTCCAGTTTTATTTATTGCATTTGGTACAATTTTGCGAACACCCTTTTTTGAAAGGAACCTACTTCTTACACTCAGGTATTCCCTACCTAGCCAATAAAATGAAAGACAAAATGGTAAATAAGCAATGCTGGGAAAATTTGGACGCTAGTTTGTGCCTTGATTTTGGTAAGTAGGGGACGGAGAGCCTGGCTTTTTGAAAGCTAAATGTCATGATTTGATGTTGCATATACATAATATGGTTATTTTGCTGGCAACATTGTAATTCAAAAAACGGAATTTAAAACACTAAATTTCATGGAGTTCCTCAAAGAGACCATTCTATCTTCTACACAAATTCATATCCCCTAAGTTAAAATTACCTGGAGAAGGCAAAGGAAACTGTTATGGTCTGGTAATTGAAAGTGACAGTCTGAGTGATCCTGTTGTTAAAGTTTAGTCAATTTTGCTGAGTTTAGTGCTGAGGGAAAATGTATCTCCTTTGAAGACGAATATTTTTTTTTCCTTTTTCTTGGCTACTAGAAAGTTGAGTGTTGTCTTATTACGCTTATCCTTTTGTTCCTTGGTTCTTCACCTTCTCATTTGTTTTGATTTTCTTTATAAGTCCATTTTATTGAGGTATAATCTATGTATAATAAATTGGAAAATGAAAAAAAAAAATTGGAAAATGCACTCATTCAAGTTTTGACAAATGTATACACACTTATGTAATCACCACTTCAATCAAGATTATGCAACATTTCCATCCCTGCAAAACATTCATGCCTCTTTACAATCATTGCTCCCTTTCTGCCCTGTGTCTTAGCCCTTCAAGTTAGCCACCAACTTGCAAAAAATACTTTTGGGAAGTAGGTAGAATATGAGAGTAAGTACTTACATGAAATAACCTTTTTAAACCTTTCTATTCTTCCTGTGATCTGTCATTTAAATTCTTTTTTTATTTATTTATTTTTTTAATTTTTATTTATTTATGATAGTCACACACAGAGAGAGAGAGAGAGAGGCAGAGACACAGGCAGAGGGAGAAGCAGGCTCCATGCACTGGGAGCCCGACGTGGGATTCGATCCCGGGTCTCCAGGATCGCGCCCTGGGTCAAAGGCAGGCGCCAAACCGCTGCGCCACCCAGGGATCCCTAAATTCTTTTTTTATATCCAAAAAAGCACCATTAAAACTTCTTAGTCCTTAAGTCTTGTTGCGGCTAACATTGACGAGCTGGTTGTCTCATGAAGCACTGCCACATACCGTTATAAGACCACGTTATTTTTTTCTCTTTAGAAATTAAACATCTAATTCAAAAGATTTTTAAATCCAGACAGATTTGTTCCCATATGGGTTTGTCCATACCTCTGTGGCCCACATCTTTACCAGTAGATGAAATATGCAATGAGCTCCAGTTGTCTTTTGTAGCATGTTAGAGAGACAGGGGTGCTGCTTTCTAGTAATTCAGCAACTCATGACTTATGAAAATCTGCAGCTGTTTTTGGAAACATTAGAGCTGTGACTTGTTTGTAGATGTCATAGCAGTGTCTTGAGAAGTTTGACTGGATTGTGTATGAGGACACTTTGGGTTCCAGGTAGATGTGTGAGTCACTAGAGGGACAGGAGTTGTGACTAGCTTATGCGTGAGGAATTCCAGTACATAGCTTGCATCAGAGCAACATCAGCATGAGTGTGGATGGTATAGACTTCTTCCCAGGATAGTAAAACGACAGCAACAAGTAATACAAGGTTTTAACCCTATTTTCACTTGTTAAAGAAAAGGAATTGTTGTTGTCATTATTTTAACATTCTGGAATTGCTTTGATGTAATGAATTGAATTCAAGATGAAGATATAAGCTTAAATATATAATCTTCTGATACAGTGCTTTAATATTTCCTACTTTGGAAAACAGTAGTGGAGGAGGTTCCTCAAAAAGATAAAAACAGAACTACCCAAAACCTAAAATTGTACTACTAGGTATTTTCTCAAAGGATACAAAAATACAGATTTGAAGGCACACATGCACTCCAGTGCTCATAGCAGCATTATCAACAATTGCCAAACTATGGAAGGAGCCCAACTGTCCAGTGACTGATGAATGGATAAAGATGTGGTATACATACCCAATAGAATACTACTCAGCCATCAAAAAGAATGAAATCTTGGGATCCCTGGGTGGCGCAGCGGTTTAGTGCCTGCCCTTTGGCCCAGGGCGCGATCCTGGAGACCTGGGATTGAATCCCACGTCGGGCTCCCGGTGCATGGAGCCTGCTTCTCCCTCTGCCTGTGTCTCTGCCCCCCCCCCTCTGTGTGTGACTATCATAAATAAATAAAAATTTAAAAAAAAGAATGAAATCTTATAATTTGCAATGACATGGATGAAGCTAGAGAATATTATGCTAAGCGACCTAAGTCAGAGAAAAAGAAATACCAAATGATTTCACTCATATGTGGAATTTAAGAAAGAAACAGATGAACCTATGAGAAGGAAAAAGAGAGAAAGAGGGAAGCAAACTATGAGAGACCCTTAATGATAGAGAACAAATTGAGGGTTGTGAGAGAGAAGTGTGTGGGAGTGGGCTAAATGGATGGATATTAAGGAGGGCACTTGTTGTGATGAGCACTGACTGTTATAGGTAAGTGATGAATCACTAAATTCTACTCCTGAAACAAAAAAAAAAAAAAAAAAAGAAAAAGAAAAATGTCAAAAAAAGATTTCCTTGTAATGTGATAGAGCTGTTTTTAAAAGGGAATCAGCAATAACATGACCACAAAGGAGCATAGATTATAACCATTTCACATATTTATTTTTTGAAATTATTTTTTGTGTGAATTGTATAAAAAGGAAAGTCATTGAACCATGTATGTTTATAAAGCTCAGAACTAATGCAAAGATTGCTTGATGTACCGTGTGCCAGAATTAAAACAGTGATACTCAGTGATGTATCCTAAAATGTTTGACATTTCTGTGCACTGAACTGGGTGTTGGAGTGGAGAGAATGTCTATTCAATTGTTTTTTTATTTTTGCTGGCAGTACTCAAGTTATTCTATATATTATAATCCATTATTTTAGACTCATTAAATAAGAAAGCAAATTTTCTCAAATTCTCCTGTTCGTGTGCACCATAATTACATGTATTTGGACTACTTAAATCTAGGAACAACCCAAAAAGCCGTAAATAAAGGTCATGTGTGTTCTTGCTTGGTTACTATAATTTGGCTTCCCAAACAGTCCCAGTTGGCCTGAGTTTGAAGTAGAGGGTGGTTATGGTTATGAATATATGAGATACTGAATTTGATATATTTTCATTTTATTTAAGCAAAGGACAGCATACATAATCTGCCACAGAGGGAAAACCTTTAGGAGCATCTTTGGCTCTTTGATGAACAAAATTAAATTTCTCTTATTCTTTTTTTTTTTTTTGCCAGGAATTTAATGATTGATATTTAATAATTGAGAGATAATTGAGTCCAATATGCTTCCACTTGATGAAAGTAGCAAAGTCTAATCGAATAAGCACTTGCTGACTAAATTTTTCCTCTTTTTATTAACTTTCTTTTAGGACTCAGCCCAAAACCATGTTTGCCCAAGTTGAATCTGACGATGAGGAAGCAAAGAATGAGCCAGAATGGAAAAAGCGTAAAATTTGAAGACTCTCACATGAGTGCTGTTTGCATGAGGGGAAGTGATATCGGACAGTTTTTTTTTTTTTAATGAAATAAAAAATACATTTTTATGAAAAGTTTTTGTAGTTTGCATTGTTGAACCATTCAAAAGATTGGTAGCTAATCTTCACTAAAATTGTACTTACATTTTCTTAACTACAACTATGAATCTGTATTATAAATAAATAAGGGGTATATTCTTAGCCTATTACCAAGTAATTTAGGTATTTGGAAACTTTAGTCAACAATTATTGGTCCTGTACAAATTCTTATAACCTTGGGAGAGAGAATGTACATTGAGATGGACATGTGTCTTGAGCAATTCTAGGAGCATAATATGAAAATAGGCATCAAAAGGTTTAATATTTCTGTATAATTTCACAATATTTATTACATGATTATAAATAATTAGGCTGAGTTCAGGCTAAAAGCATTGCTGTACTAGGAAAGAACATGTATCTGTTTATCCTTAAACAGCAGAATACAGTGGTTAGGATTTAGGAAGCAAACTTTGAAGTTAAACCCATGTGGATTCAAACTTTGGCTCTACTCTTTACTGTCTAGGTCTTCTTGCAAGCTATTAAACTTCTCTCTTCTAGCCTCAGATGATGATAGCACCATCTTCATAGGTTTGTTACAGGATTAGATGAGACATTCCTTGTATAGCATTTAGTATAGTACCTGACATGTAACAAACATACACTATTTCCTATTTAAAAATAGAGCTAATGATATCTACTTTGCCTGATTTTCATCACTATTAAATTAGAAAAGTATTAAAATGTTTGTACCTATAATTAGACTTTAAAAATCATTCTAAATAAAGTCCTTGTGCTTTTGTGACTAGAAAACTAAAACAAAAGTTGGCAGTTTGTCCAAAGTAATAATGAGTCAATAGAATAAAATTCCGTGGACATATTTCACACAGACCTGGGGTAATTTTGTGTGTCAAATAGTCCCCACTAGAAAATTCAGGAATTTTTAGTCCTTTTGCCTTTTCCCCTCCTGCTCTCATTTGTCCTAGTAAATTAAATAATTATAAAAATGAATGATGATCCAAAATGTGTGTTGGAAAGTTACAGGCCTCACATACGTAATACCTCCTCCCCCCAAATCTTTTTCACCAAGATCACATGTACACAGCTTTCCTGCCTCTACAGTTCTGAAATGGGTAGTAGTGGGCATTCCTCCATAAATAAATCCTCAAAACCTTCATCCTTGTCAACTATTCTCTGCCCTTTTTCTCTTCTACCACCATTTTCATTCTCTTCCCCTTCCCTCATCACTTAGCTTATAGGTAATAACTGACATTTGCTACTGTGCCTACTATCTGATGACTACTCTTCTGAGCTCTTTATCTGCAGTAGCTCATTTAATCCTCACAAAATCCCATGAATAGGTAAAATTGCTAAACCCATTTTACAGATACGACAAAAGAGATTCAAGAAGTCAAGTAATCTGTCCGAGATTACAGTTAAGGAGGGCTATATACAAAGACACCCAAGATTTCTAAGCATCAGTAGTTAACAAACTGTCCCAAGTTTCCTATTACCGTTGAAATACACTTCATCCAAAATCAATTACAGACCAATATTTTGTTCTGTTCCAAGTGCTTAGGATTTGTAAATTTACTGTTTCTTGGATAAAATTTACTGAAAGCATTTCATTTTTTTCCTGTCTTAACATAAACATTGCACCATATGGAAGTATTCGTCTTACACAGCCAAAAGTTGTTGTGGAAGGTTGGAGGGAGGAATAAAAACTTGATCATAGTGGTCTTGGCGGAGCCTGCTATGATGTAAGGGGAGAGAAAGACAGATTTAGCACGAAGATGGTTTTCTCATTGTTACCCACAACACGAGTGGCCCTTTTCATGCTTGAGATGATCGATCTCGCACTTGAGCGTTTTATACAAGATTGTTTTTCCATACAAGATTGGCAAGAGAGAGAGAAGATTTCCGTTATCAATTTTGGTGAGCGAGGACCTCAGAACCAGGACTGAACAAATAGTGGGTGGTCATTGGACCTGTATTCCCATCACCAGGGTAGAATCTGCAGTGGGTATTTCACAGGCCCTCACACTCCCCATGCCCCTCAGCTTCATTATCTTACTCCATACAACCCAGTATTCCGTGTCTCGGTCCACTACATTTCTATTCGCTCAAAGAAGGGAGTAAGGCATAATGATGACTCCTGCCTCACCCCCCTCCCACCTCATGCAATCGTTTGCCAGTTTCCATCCATGCCATCTGCTGACTGCCTTCTATTTGACCTTCATCTTCCCTGCTGCCCCTGCTAGAATTTAGACCCTCTTTTATCCCTGACCAGGACCTCCCAGGAGCCTCCCTCCCAACTAATCTCCCTATTTTTCATTTGGTCCTCATCAAATCCATCTTCTATTCTGCCATCAGACTTGCTTTCTAAAACGAAAATCTATCATTTCATCCCTCTGTGTAGAGCCTTCCAGAGTATCTGTGTCAGTAGTTTGAGTTCATCTGTGTGGCGCTTGGGATGTCCAGATTCAGCCTCTCCCTGTTCCTGCTTTAACTCCTGCTGAGCTCGCACAGGCTTCTCAGTTCCAGCATATCTGAACCTGGATGTTCCATGTGTTTTGCACCTGAGTGCCTTTGCCCATATTGTCCCTTCTTCCATCCTTGACTGCCTGTTTTTGAATACGGGGATCAATGCCATCTTTCCCGAGCAGCCTTCCATGACCCTCCTAGCAGACAGTTGATCCCTCCTCTGCCCCCAACGTTGCTTACATATCTCTATGCTATGGCCTTCTTTTCTGTTCATTGTAAATGTATATGTGTGTGGCTTGTGGACTTCAGCGTGTTCCCCCCACTGGGATGTAGATTATAAAAACTAAAGCCCTTTGGGTTCTGTTAATGTTCAATGAATTTCTTTTTTTTTTTCAATGAATTTCTTTAATGAATAAGAGGAGCCATATTTTATTCACATTTGTTTTGCTAGCCCCTACCCCCAAGAAAGGGATTAAAAAGGTGCTCATTAAATATTTGGCAGAGGGAAAGAGAGAAACCGGGAAGGGTAAGGAATGGATGGAAAGAGAATGAGGTATGAGAAGTGTGTCTGCCTCACCAGTGGGAAGGAGGATCATTAGTGCAGAAGCTCAGGCTGTATCTAGGCTGTTTGGCCTTTCTCTCTTGGGGTTTATTCACAGGTGACTATTGTGATAGCTCAAGGAAAAAACAGGATTGTAAACAACTGCATGTGTTGTGCCTGGCATGGCCTAACAGGCCCTAAGCCATCATGACACTCTGAAGCACTCACTTCCTATCCTGAATCACCAAAGATCTAAGAGATCTCTGACATGGAGATTCATAACCTAGGCAGAGTGTCTGTGAATGCCCCAAAGTATGCAACACACTTTCCTTATGCTCATGTACATCTTTCTGTAGAGTGGATCCACAGCATTAATTAAAATTCTGGGTTATTGGGTGTTGGTAGCAGCTCTTTTTTTTTTTTTTTAAAGATTTTATTTATTCATGACAGAGAGAAGCAGAGACACAGGCAGAGGGAGAAGCAGGCTCCATGCAGGGAGCCCAACATGGGACTCGATCCCGGGTCTCCAGGATCACACCCTGGGCTGAAGGCGGTGCTAAACCGCTGAGCCACCTGGGCTGCCCAGTAGCAGCTCTTTGATCTCACAGAGGACTGGTAAAATTGGGTCATCCAGACTTGAAAATCAGGACATAACTGTCACACACATGCAAAATTCCAAACAGAACAAACTAAGCCCAAACCTCGAACATGCTGGCTCCCATTTAATCTTAGGCAGTTGATATATTATTTTTAGTCACACCTTAATTTCTGTTCTTTAAAGATGATTAGCCTTTTGTCCCATTTAACAGCTAAAATCATCAGCTTTATGGTTGCCTGAAAGCAGCATCCAGAGGTAAGTGCCTCTTTATGTGATCTAAGAGTGAATATTACGAGATTTGAGCCAATTTGAGAAAAGCTTTTAGGAGTTGATATTACTAATTCAGGCATCTGTGAGCCCTTCAGTGTTTAATAACTAATTAGTCAGATATGGTAGGAAATAAGGAGGGTAGCCAGATATCTACTTAGGTGTGTGCCTCCAACCTGGGTCAGCAGCCCTCTAGAGGTGACATGCTTCCTTCATTCATCGGTTTTCCTGTATGTGAGGAAGTTAGGAAATAGGGGGTTGTTAACAAATCCTTTTTGAAAAGTATCTATCTGGAATGGGGTATACCACAAGCCACCATGACCATGACTCCAGTTTACTCAACACCCTCATCAAAGAACTGACTGGGGGAGAAGTGCCTAAAGATGGGAGATCTTCCGTGTGCATGTGCGTATGCGTGTGCATGTGCGTGTGTGTGTGTGTGTGTGTGTGTAGGTAGAGAAGGGGCTTTAGGAGCTAAGAATAGAGAACTTTGCTATTTTAAGTAGTTCTATGAATTATCAGAGTTTATATTAGGGGTCTTCAAATTCTTAAATAAAAGCATTTATTATCTGGAAAATGTTGGCATAAAATGGTAGATTAAAGATGACCACAGGTTCTTTGAGACATTCCTCTCATCAGGAAGAGCCCCTTCCCTTAAATCTGAGCAGGCTCTGTGATGACTTGACCAACAGAACATGACAGGAGTGGCACTGTGCAAGTTACCAGCCCAGCCATTAAGATACTTGCACTTTCTACTTCCTTTCTCTCAGAACAGTTGTTCTTGAAACTGGGTTGCCGTGTTGTGAGGAAGCTTCAGCAGCCCCATGGAGAGGCCCACCTGGAGAAGAACTCAGGCCCCTGGCCAGCCCTAACTGAGCTCCCAGCTGAGAGCCAGCACCAACATGTTGAGCCACCTTGGCAAGCAGATCCTTCAGTCTCAGTTCAGTCACACATGGAACAGAGATGAGTCAACCCCCTAGGAACTTTGCCCAAATCGAATCACAAATTAATGAGAGTACATGATTATTATCATTTTAAGCAATAAGTTATGAGGTTGTTTTTTATGCAGAAATACAGAATTGGAACAACCTAAAAGATAAGAAGTCATTAAACATAGTGCTAATATTTTAATGAACCACATTCCAATTTTAAACTTTATGTACAATTTTGAGTATTATTTGCTCTTCTTAAAACATAATTAGAATATTTATTTAAAATATGGTGTATTCTTCACTTGTTAAATATGTAAATTTTCTATATTACTACAAGCCTCATATAATTTTAGGGGCTACTTGGTAGTTTATTATAGAGATGTATTTTCTTTTTTTTTTAATTTTTTTTTAATTTATGATAGTCACACACACAGAGAGAGAGAGAGAGAGGCAGAGACACAGGCAGAGGGAGAAGCAGGCTCCATGCACCGGGAGCCCGACGTGGGATTCGATCCTGGGTCTCCAGGATCGCGCCCCGGGGCCAAAGGCAGGTGCCAAACCGCTGCGCCACCCAGGGATCCCTAGAGATGTATTTTCTATACTTAACTATATTCTTTCATTGTTAGAAACATGGATGGGTTTTTTTTAATAAATTTTTTTATTTATTTATGATAGTCACACAGAGAGAAAGAGAGGCAGAGACATAGGCAGAGGGAGAAGCAGGCTCCAAGCACCGGGAGCCCGACGTGGGATTCGATCCCGGGTCTCCAGGATCACACCCTGGGCCAAAGGCAGGCGCCAAACCGCTGTGCCACCCAGGGATCCCCATGGATAGTTTTCAAACGTGCTATCATAAGCAAAACTGCTTTGCTTTATTTCTGTGCTTAAAGTTTCCTTATGTACATAGGATTCTTTTCCTAGAACTGATTATG